TATAAAATATTGTGAATGAGCTATTTTGAGAGTAATTTTGCGGTTGAATAATAACTTTAACTAAATCAATTAAAAATAATTACATATTCAACAAATTATATTATATATGAAATGCTCACTATTTGTATGGTTTCAATTAGCTATTTTTGTAAAAATATAAAGAAAAAAATAAAATTATTTAATATATTCATTTATTTACAAAAGTGAATAAATATGTGCGAATGACTATGCACAAATAAAATTACTTGGAATGATAAGACTTAATCTTTCATTATTAAAAATGTAATAAAATTATCAAAGCCAAAGTAAATATACACTAGACATATACCAAGTAAGCTCTCGCTGACCCTATAAATGTAAATAACAATGCATACACAAAAGATGGTATTAATTTCTTTAATCTATTAAACTTTTAATTTCAATGTATCTTTATAGTACACCATCGACGTAAATAAAATAAAAACTGTTATTCTGACGTCATGAACTTCAACTGATTATAATATGTGTTGTGCTTTTATCTTCTTTGTCTCAAATTAATTTTATGCTGGAGTTTATTAATAATGATGGACTTAAAGAGAAATTCTCTATTCGTAAGCACAGAAATGAAATGCAGTTAGCGACCAATGGGTTCCAGTAGTTGTTAGGTGTATATTACGGAACCACAGCAAGCTTCTTTCTAAATTAGAAAAATACATGGACTTTATCAATAAAAAAAATATAGCACTTAAAAAAAATTTCTTTCTGTCAATAGAAGAATATGTGACGAATAAAATCTTTTAGTCATCAAGTCCCCGTCGCGGAGCCACACATGATCTGATTTACGACCAATTGATGAACTTATTTGAGAATATAGCTTTGCAGTAGCGCTATAACCATTTACATACAAAGAACTGAGTAATGATTTATCCAAAGGAGCGGTATAACAATCCACTTAAGAGAAACATAGTAATGATTGACTTTAACGATAATCTCTCTCTCACGAAATAAACTAGGTAACACCCTTTATATGTAACAGAAATCTAATAAGCTGCAGATAATAAAATTGATAACAAATTTAACTAATTCAGATAACTACACTCAGAAAAATATGCTTTAACAATATACTATCTGAATTGACCTTATCAGTTTGTTAGAAAAATTTTAGCTCATGTTGTAAAGAAGATATCAAAAACCAACATGTGGTATGATTGAACCAATATGATGAGTGTAGTAAGAATATTTTAATTATTTAATAATAATTTAAAATTATTTTTGTTAGTGTAACTATCTAAGCAACTGGGTGATACTTGGTGATTTACAGATGTGTAACAGAAGTATAATTATTATTTTAAAAGCTGCAGAATCAAGAAACACGGATGAAAGACTTGGTCGGTTCGCAAAACCGAGCAGATCTCAAGAAAGAGATAGGATAGTTCACACGAATAAAAAACTCGTACACAATGTAGAAATTTTAAGTTTTTAAACCACTCTTTAAGTCTATTAATTAGATATAATACAGTAGTCCATCCATGTCATTTTTATGCCAACCACTTTAATCTGCTTAGAAATAATATTATACAATAATAGTTTTTAATTGATATTTAAGAACCATAACAGTGTTGTTGGAGAGGAGATAGGGTACTTCATGCACAAATAATAAATTCATACACACAGTCCCTTAATTCTATTAATAATGTATTTTATGGGTAATGCTAAGGATCCGATGGTCTATTATGTTATCGAGATTAATTTGCCTTGAAAAGTAATAGGTTAGATTACGCTATATCGAAGATCCTTAGGATCTATTTAAACCTATAAGCCCATCATCAAAATTAAAAACTATTTTGAACCTCTGAAAAATCTAAAAATGCTCTTTAATGAGATGTCATGGAGCTGGTCAAGAAACTCAAAGAAGACAACCCTTAGTGTAGGTAATCTTGAGTCCTTGGTATCAACTTAAGCCTATTATAAAAGGTCAAAAAACTATCTTGAACCTCTGCCAAATCTAAAAATGCTCTTTAGAGGAAACTTATACAGTTGACCAAGATCTTCAAAAAAGTAAGTCCACAGCATAGTCAATCGACGACTCGCTTTGCTTGAACAGTCACAAAGTAGATATGAGGCACATTCATTGTTCTTTCCACAACTACGACAGGTATGATTAAATGAAAGATTCAATCTTCTCCACAACTAATGGTTCCCTAAACGGTTATACACTATCAACAACCCACCATAAGACTAATATTTTTATGGGGCCTCTCAATGAAATTAATTGATTCTTTTTTTATAGAATTCGACCTACATATCGTTGACTTTTCCCACTTTGTATTACATTGATCAATACAGAAAGATTTCAACTACTGTTTGCATAAAAAATGATATTATTTCATAGTTTCTTCTTAAATTAATTGACATTCTACTTTTCATCTATGAGATACTAATGAAAGAGAACAAGTGAACCAATTCCAAGATAATTAAACAACTTCAATAACTCCTTTTCTCTGATGGTGAAGTCTCTATTCTAATTTAAAATGTTTTAAATTATTTTGCAACTAAAAACAAGACTTCATTCAAATGTACAAGTTTTAGAATGAGATACATTGTAAATTATGTTAAGTTTTAAATAATTTAAAGTTAATGCAATTCATTTTAAGTCTATTGCATTAACTTAAAAACTTTTTATTTAAAAATAAAAAAGTTTTGTAAATTTGCTTTTATGTTAATTGTTATTATTTTCTTCTTCAAGAAAAAGGTCAACATTAAAGTAAGCATGAAATTAAAGTTGGAACCAATTTGCATTTTTATATGAAGACAACATGATATCCCAACGCCACTGCACCGAACTTGGAAGGAAAGCAATTTTATTAGGGTGAAAAATTTGGAATAAAGAAGTTTTATTTTTTGTTACTCATCCTTATAACCTACCCGTAGATGGGGATTTCTATCGCTTGTTTCTGTTAACAGAGTAAGTAGTCATAGTTAAAAATAGAGGTATATTTTAAATTAATACTTAAATTAATTAAATTCATATTATTTGTTTAGACATGGGTCGATGATCCTAGAATTTTGGACATTAAATTTAAATGGAAGCTATACGAATTTTAAATCCATAAAAACAAATTAAGAAAAGTAATAATAGAAATAGTAGAAAAATTATAATGGAATGACAAGCAAATGGAAGTTAATTCAAATCTTCAAACCATGGAAAAAAATTCCACAAATATACTTGACATTAAAACTGAGCGCTAATAACAACATGGAAATTCTTATGCACTAAGGAGTAATATAATACTGTGCTATGAATCTCTACGGATTAGCTATTAACTGAATAATATAAAAATTAATTCTAAGAGAAACATTTGACTTCAGCGGCACTTGATGTTTGAATATATGGTAGTCTTCATATTCAAATGATGAATCTGCTGGGTTGCCAAAGTCGTCTTTGAAGGCATTGTCTTCAATACAGTCTTTTATACTGCGTCCACATGATCAAGCAAATTCGTAAAACAATTGCTGAAAATATTTATGTAAATAGTCTCTATTATGCTTACTCTCTTCAGTTGCAGTGTTCACAGTAACTTATTCAACTTTTGTACGTCTCTTAATATTTTTATATTATATATTATATTTTTTATTAATTATTTGTGTGCTTTGTTCTTTTTCAAATATAAAAAATTAAATAAGTGGTTACGCAAAGACCGCATTATTTTTAATCGAATGCGTCCGCTATGCAAGACATGTACGCATTCAGTCTTCTATAAATGTACGCAAAATGTCTATGAAGATATTAGACTAATTTGTTCGAAAATGTCTTTGAAAACCGTCATACATTTGGATTGGTGGGCCAGACATGCGTACATCTCTTCAGGACGTCTTGGATGACGAATCGACACGTTTACTACTGTGTAACTAATTTATACACCAACGCAATGTTTTCGAGATACAACGACTACATATGCATAATAGCTGCAAGCAAAAACATAGATATATTTTTATATGTTCTTGCTACAACTTTTATAACATTGTAACGTTTTCTAAAGGTCATCAGAACTTTTATTTAATATAGATGAAAGATAAATCGTCACAATATCAGCATGGAAAGCTGATATTTTTCAGAAGCAAAATCAATTCTTAATAAGATTTGTTTCTGTCTAAAATACCTTTAATTAAATATAGAAATAAAAAATCAACTACCTAACATATAATATACACTATAGATGTATTCACTATCTCTGTGATCGAGTACTATTATAAGCTTGACGAGTTATGACGTTGCAACCAAATATGTGTACTTGGAAGATATTTAATTATTAATTCTTTGTACTGCTTCTACGTTATGCGATTATCGAGCTCATTGCCCGTAATATTGAATATACCCCTAATACAATATATTATTAAATATATAATATAATATGTACTTATACAATATATTATTATATTCAATATAATATATATTCATAGCATATATTATTAACTAGGTCTTATTAAAAAACAAACAATTAATGAAATAAGGTGTGCCAACTATCGTATACTTTGTAAGATACTGTTTAACTTAAGTGGCAACTTAACTAAACTAAAGCAAGTTATGTATCTTTTTAAGTTGAGTAAATACTTTGGTATATACTAACCAATGTATTTATTTATTTAAAAATTTTTTATTATATCGGAACTTTACAGAGTATTTTTTCAATTTTTTCGATATGTTGTATTATTAGATCCCAAATCTTATTTCTTCGTCCGATAATAGATACTAACCGAAAAACTTTTTTCACTTATGCATCAGTCCCGGGCAAACTCCTACGATGTATTTTAAAACGCTTATCTTAAATAATTTGTTATATATTGTTAGTAATTTTTTTTTTTAGAAAAATATTATTATATATTCGTTGTGTGTGCATAATATATTAAGATATATTTAAAATAAAATTTATTTTTTTTCTTTTTTATTCATTTTTCTTTAATTAAGGTTTTTACATAGTTTAATCCACTGTATAGACAATATAATATATGAATAATATTGTTTGTCTCAGTTGTGATGTTATTCCCATGTTTATTTTTTTTTAGTAAGTCCTCAAGTAATTCTTTTAAATCGTAATACAAAAGTTATTAATTCTTATATATCAGTTAAATAATTAAATTGAATAAAGATAGTTGATCTTTACTTTAAGTTGAAGTAGTTTTATATTGTCATCATTATATATTGTTAAGTTGTCTTATTGGCTGCTATCTATAATCAAAAAATTTCAATAATTATTTTAAAAGAAGAAACAAGCAAATACAAATAATTTGTACACACCTATTAATACATTTATGAATTAAATAACTTTAGTTAATTATAATTGAATAACGTGTCAGCTGTAAAATATCCACGTTCCGTATCTGTACTACAACAAGCAATGCGGTTAGGTTATCCTTCTACATGTCAAAAGATAGACAGCCATCTGACAATATCTCACCTGCAATATTGTTAAAAATCTTATTAAAAATTTTGATTAAAAGTACAGATTAAAAAATATATGACATTTACAAACACACATTACAGACATAGTAAGGATGGGTGCGTACTTTATTTAACTCATATTTTTTATATTTTTATATTATGTCGTGCAGATACTTTGGCATCAAACATTTTTAAGATGCATCGATTTTCTTGAGTTCAAGTAAACATATATATATATTATTCATTCAAATTGATCTTTTAGCTTTTAAATTAAACTTATACGGCGTTTACATTGGCCGAAAATGGCTCATTTTGGTCAAAAATCGAAAATGAGTATCGAATGGCTCATTCTTGCATATAAAATTTCAAGCACAAAAATGAGCAATTTTCTCACATTCTGTATGAATGACGTTCGAATGCATTCCACATATGTTCCAAATGCAAAGGAATCTATTGAACATACCCTAAATGAAAGCTCTTCATGGCATTTTGACAGTTTGTAAAAGCTGTTTTGACATATTTACAAAAAAAGATAAACAAATGTTTAGTAGTTTTATTTCAGTTTGAATTGTTACCATGAGAACGAATGAAATACAACGAATGTTGTATTTCAAATGAGTCATTCAAAATGAGCCATTTTCGGCCAATGTAAACGCCGTATTAGAATATTAAATAATTGAATTTCTTATTAATTAAAAAAATTCAACACAATTATAAAAAAAATTTTTTTAACTCATTTTACTGAAGACGATAAATAATTGCGAAGATCTAATAAAAATTATATTTTTCATTAGTGGTCTTTAAAAATATTTGTATGTTTGATTGAGTATTGCGAGAAGGTGCTTATAATAAGAGCACTCCCACCATCTAATTAAACGCCTTACAACGTTGACTTGTAGATGATAACCTTACATCATTCCTGCGCTTAGAAATTCCTTTCGCTATGACATCCAGTAACATCAAGACAGATGGCAAATGCAAACAGCGACTTAAAAGTCCCTAACCTTTGAAACCCTACTCTCCTATACGTCTTTGCTAATTTTTCTTCTATTCCCAATCTGAAGAGGTGCACAAGTTCTCTCCGCAAGTTGTAAAATGAAGAAATGATGTCATTAAAATTCCAGATTTTAAACAGAAATGGTAACCAGTTCTTCTATAAAACCAGTTGAAAAGATTGACTCTGATAATGTAAGAATTAAAAGAAGTTACGACGAAGTAACGACTACAAAAGAGAATGTTGTTCTATCTTGCCAGACTTCAAGCCAGCACTTCTGAAGCTATTACAGGCGGTAAAGAAACAGAGGGGGTTGGTGGAGACAATCTCTGGAGCAAAGAAACGAAGATTAGAGGCATCTTGAACAAAGCAAAGAAACGAAGATTATAGAGATCTTGAAATAAATATGCTTTTGCGGATTTGGCAAACGACAGAATTATAATAAGTATACTGAATCAAGGGAAAATGCTTCGAAATCAGTGGGAGTGAATAGAAACTGCTTTAGCAGACAATTCTGGATCACCAATCTTTCCTAAGACTATGGGTTGTATAAGACAACAATCATCAAAATAGGCGAAACATACCCGGGAAATACTTGGTTCAGTATACTGAAGCAAGGGAAAATGCCTCGGAATCAGTGGAAATGGATAGAAACTGCTTTACCAGACCATTGTGGACCACCAACCTTTTGTAAGGTAAAGATAAAAATCATAAAGGGAAATAATCCCTTTATGAGTATGGATTTCTTTGACTCTTGGTGTATATGAGAGCATGTCTTCCTTTAAATTTAATTTTAAGGGATAAGTTTAAACAAAATTCTAAAAATTGCATATCAAATATTTAGTAGGAATATAAACATTTAAGGATAATTTTATAAAACAAAATGATAAAGTGTAAGAAATAATTATTCTTATATCTTATAATTTATGATTTTAAGTTTTTGTTGCAATTTTTACAAAGCGGATGACTACTTCACATCAAGCAAAAATTTATTAAAGTAGTAAACTCACTGACAGTAAATAATCGATCAAAATGGTTTTAACTGTCAGTGAGTTGAGCTGCAGCATTCAGGGCCTTTAATGGCATTGAAAACCAATAATTGCAACTTTAAAAATTTATCTGTACGTGATTATCTCGATTGCGGCTTCATGGCTGCAACTCACAACTGCAGCAGCTGTTGGGTTGTGGCACATTGCTGTATATTACAACCAATGATATCGTAATCAATCTATCTTAAGCATTTTCTTCAGATTCTGAAATACTTTATGTCAGCTAAGTTGGCATTTGTCATTTATTAAATATTCGTAAAGGAACTTGCTGTGCCACCAGCGATGTTTAACGCCAGATCATTCAATAAATACAGAATTTTTTGTACGTAGGATATCTTTTTCATTCATTATTACAATGTGAAATTAATTAATTAAAGATTCTCTGCATTTTTTTTTTTAATTTATGAAGGAGAATAAAAAACTTAATGTTTGAACATAATTTTCTGTTATTGATTTAAAGTCTTATGTCAACATTTTAATATAAATATAAATATAAATATAAATATAAATATAAATATAAATATAAATATAAATATAAATATAAATATAAATATACATATATATAAATATAAATATAATATAATATAATTAAATATAAATATAAATATAAATATAAATATAAATATAAATATAAATATAAATATAAATATAAATATAAATAAATAATATTAAAGCTTAAAAACTGTTTTTATTAAAAAAATTATTTAAACCTTTATGTAAACTAACATAAAACCCTGCCTCGTAAGAAACTTAATTAATTAATACTAACTATTAATTAACTATTCCGGTAAAGAGTGGTAAGCACTGCAGTTGATGTTTAATTTAAGATGGATGGATGAAGTTTAATTTAGAATGGATAAATTGAAGATGGAAAATAAACTAAGAACTTCAATATCAATAATTGTGCTGTGATTGATGCATGAATTTTTAAGAGCGACATTACGCCTATCTGCAGTCCCCATGTTGCAATAGAGACAGATAGACCCCTTCTAATAAGATATAGGGAACTGATTTGTGAGAATGGAAAAAAGGTAACCCTCACTTTTTTTATCATTATAAATAATATAACTTGCATAATTATCTCTTTATTTATTTTTTTATTTAATTATTGTATGGGAATACACATATGGAAAGTATCGTATAAGGAATTATAATGAAATTTTTGAGCACAGAATATGTACATATTTAGGATTCTAACATATTTAATCTGATATACGTACAACTAAATTGTAAAGCGCAAAATATTGTAGGTAGTTCTAACTTTATTAGTTCTAACAACTTTATATTAGGTGAAAGAACACAGTTGAATAAGAAATGTAAGAATGTGTGCTATAGTCTGATCTGAGTGACATTATGTACACCTTAGATAGGATTTTAGATACAAAGATCTCTACACATCCGTCAATTTTATGTGTCTATCAAAAACCCACAGTCGAGTGAAAGATAATGTGACGAAATACGTAATTTTTCTTTAGTTACTCTATATGAGATCATATACAAAAATAAAATTTGTTTTATATCTAGCTATTGATTCTATCATAGCTATTGATTATATCATACCTATTGATCATATCATAACTATTGATCATATCATAGTTATTGATCATATCATAGCTATTGATCATATCATAGCTACTGATCTGTAAACACATTTGACATAAATATTTTAATAAATATTATTTCTATTTATTTTCTATTTTTACTTTTTTTTCTAGAGCCATAACCATTACCTTAACATATCTTTTATTGTTTTAACGAAAGTAGCAGAGTTGAATTTTCAAAAATATTCCATTGTATACGGTAATCTTCCACTAAAGCAAATACAAACAATTTCTTTACTAAATATATGTTAAAACTAATAAAACTCCATAAGTGGGGTGTTATACCAAATGGAAAAACATGTATAATAAAAACCATAACAGTTCAGTTAAGGAATAACGAAAATCTATAGATGAAGTAAGCTTAATACTGGAAATTGAATTTGTGCAACTAGAGATGCCATTACAGCTTCTGATGGTATGAGCAATTTAAGCACAGAGTGTGGCATGTAAGGGTAAGTGCATCACGTACCAATTGAATGGATATGAATTTTAAATTTCCATCTATTAGCACAGATTTGTATGGAAAAAATGAAATGCGAATCGATAAAGTGAGAAAATGTTATTACCACACACAAAAATGCTTTAACTTAACTTCAAAGGATTGAACAGTCATGTTATTCAGAGTTAAATATTCAATCTGGCAATAGAAATAATAATTTCACATAGGTATTAAAATATTAACAATTATATATACATAGATAGATCTGTTGGGCGTTGGTCATATACTGATCACCTTGTCTATATACGAACATAGCTTTTTCCTTGTGGTACCACAACGGGCCATTATTTGTACTCAAGTGGGCTTTCTTGGTAAACAAGGCCGCCACTCCAACCTACCTTCCTACCTAGATGAAGATAGCAATACCATGCATAACGATGGCTATAACAAAGGAAGAAATGGATGAAATTGTTCCGGTTACAAACGTTTTTGTTTCAGTTTCAGATACGCCACTCTTTGTTATATTTGAACGTCTTTATATTAAGTAGTTTCGCTGACTTCGTCATGTAGTGCGATTGGATGAAAATAATCCGGATTCTGTTCCAGTACCTGCTGGTAAAAAGCTTCTGCATCTTTAATGAAAGGGTCAGAAAATATATGATTTAATGACGCACTACTTATTGCCATAGTTGAGCGCTTTAAATGAAATGGTTTCGCTGGCTTAATAATGTAGTGCTTATGGATGAAAATATTCCGATTAGAAAGGTTTCTGTTCCAGTACCTGCTAATAAAATCGTCTGTATCTTTAATAAAAGAACTAGAATATATATGATTTGATGATACGCCACTGATTGTCATATTTAAAAATCTTTATATTAATTTGTTTCGCTGGCTTAATAATGTAACATAGTGTAAATAGATGAAAATTTTCCCATTAGAAAAATTGTGATTTTAGTACACCCTAGCAAAAAGAACCCATATCTTTGTTAGAAGGACCAGAAAACACAAGGTTTGATGACACTCGGTACTAACAACTGTTAAGCCACTGATTAAACTGACATTTGGAGGTTATTAGATGTGACCAAAAGGGACTCTATAAGGACGAATTAAATAATAAAAACTTTGACTGCCGCAATTTAAGTAATTAGTTATTGCAGCTATTAGCTTCCTAATTGCCAGTTTATTAAATATCGAAATGATAAATCTGAAATACTGCTAGTATAATTAAATTCATATTATATTATGAACTTGATTGAGGAAAATAAAATTGTTAATTTCCTTTTTTTTTTGTTTTTACTAAATAAATGTCGACTTCATTATTCAATGTCTAATCTTGAAATTTAACTTACATTTTTGCTGCAGTAAGTTAAATGACTTTTTGTCATGTGAAACAAAAGTGCAACATTGTGCAAAACTCTTGCTTACTTTCGTATTTATTTGCTTCCTTACTGAACCAGCTTTCTTCTTACTGGCTGGCTTAACATGTCTGCAGTAACTGGGAAAGACGTTGACAAAGATTTATTTAAAATTGTGCCACTTAACCTAATAAAACAATATTACATTGCTTTCCACGTAATAACAAAGTGTAGAAATGCATTCAAGGTATTTCATCTTCTTCCTTTTATATATCATATGTGCTCTAAGGATAACAAGCAACAAACACTGGAGCATATTTGTACTGCGGCAGATACAATGTAATTCCTCTAAAATGTTAAGAGTGCAACATGCTGTATGCTGTATGAGCGACATGAGATTCTCGAGAAGGAGGAAGATATATTAACTTTTACATCTACGAGTTTGTTGTAAGTGGATTTAAGTGTTGTATATCACTCTTAACCATATTTCAGCCAATAGTTTATGGATTAAGGCATTAAAATAGGAAATAAACTTTTATTTAAGATGGTATAAGATTGTGTTATTCTTATAAAATTGTGATACTAACGAATTTGTGTTGGAGTAAATAAAACTTTGTTGTGTTGTTAATGTGAATTCAGAGTTAATAACCGGATCACCTACATTTAATTGTGTGTATAAACTTCGTATCTCAGTACACTACAACATGACAGTAAGTTTTTAATTTAATAGGTCTGTAAGTTATCTTTAGCAGAAAAGAGAATGTTCGGATGCTAGTATGCACACTGCTCAGCTATTATATGGAAATACCAGGAAGGTTTATTCACCTAATATACCACGAAGCTGTCTTTAGTCTTTAGGCCTCATGGAATTAGCAAGACTGAATGCATTTGATAGTAGTTTTGAGGAACTATATCAGCCGTGGCTTCCTTATTTGTGTTTAAATGCACTATTGTTTTTTTAGGTTACGCTTACGACTATTAAAAAACATTCAGCCGGTTTTTTTTACGAAGCATAGAGCAATTAAATCCCACTAAATCAGTGTTAGACTTTAACTTAAAATCATCCCGATGTCCTATGAGTAACCCACACGGCTTCATTAATTTGGTGTTTCGTCAAGATGTCATCCAGAATTCAAACGTCTATTGTTTATCGGCATTTTCTCTCTTCTTCATTTTTCCGCTTATGTATTTCTATCAGTCTTTTATGCTGTTGGTAGTGCAACTGTTCTTTTCAGTAATGCGCTCCCTAATGATGTGAATTGTGATAGCGATCTATGCTTCTCTTCCAAATATCTAAAACGCCGCATGATTGGAGTTGAAACTTTTTGTTGCATACTACTTAATACTATTAGAGCACATTGCCATTGTAATGCTGCTATAAGGAGGTAGGTGTCTTAAATCCTCCACAAATAGTTTCCGTTCTTCTTTAAGGTAGTCACATTAACTACGGTTAACTCTTTTTAAAAATAAGTAAACATACATTATATAAAATTATGTTTACTTTAGTATATAATAATAATTTTAATCGGAGGCCTGTTGCATTACAGTAAGAATATTGAAATCCTCATCTACGTCAGGTGTGCTTGGTACCTCCGTTATCATCAATAGTTTCGTAAAATAACTGGGGTCTTCTACGAAAGTTTTTCTTCCTTTCTCCACAGCTGAGTTTTTCTTTATTTCTTTTTTACATTAATCTACGGTGTACACGTTTCTATTATCGTTTATATTTTTTATGGCATTTTCTAAATGATAATTTACACTGTAATAATCGTTTTTAAAACTCTCGATTATCTCTCCCACGATAGGCCATAGGTTTGTTCTCTTTTTCCACAGGATGCATTGCATCCTTAATACTCATATCAATAAAATCTACTATAACGCGATTTGTTTCTTTTTCCATGCTGTTCGCGAAAACAATTGTACCAATACATGCATGATCTTTGAGAAGAGGTGGAAGAGGACTGTAATTGTATCTACTAGTTTTTCTTCTATATCCATATTATTCATCCCATCATTGAAGTGATTCTCGTATTTTTCTTCAACGACAACTATTTCTTTATCCGCTGTGTTGATTCAGTCGTTGAGAAAACTTTCGATGTCTTTAACGGTAACTGTTTTTTTTATCTGCAGTATACGTTAATGACACAATTATATTATTATTTTTATTACAAAAAAAAACGATATAATTATTACAATAAAAACAAAAAAAAAAAATTTTTTTAAACTTACATTTGTTTAGAACTTATTTTTATTTCGTTTTTTTGTACTTTTGAGTAATCGTCTCCAAAAAATTCCTTCAGTTGTTCTTCCGAAAACTGGCATGGGATGGTGTCATCGCCTTGAAATTCGTTTGGAACGAATGGACGCATTGAAAACTCTCCAAAGTCGTTGTGCAAATTATGTCGCTCACAATCTACTATATTTTTCTTACTACATGAGTTAGTTATTAAGTCAAGTTTTTTTCCATCTCGTGTAAAATTCTTATGCTTAATAATAATATTCTGGCCAAATGGATCACTTTTCGTTATCACACTTATGAAACCATAGCATACAAGGTATTTAGCAAAATGACTTGCTGTTTTAATAGAAAATATTGAGTCTTCAGAACATAAGTACTTTTCCAAAAGAATCATGTTCAGACGTATGGCATCCTCATTTTTGACCCATACGACACATAAAACATCTTCCTTATTAGCTAAATACCATAATTTATGTGCAAAAGACATCTTATTTTTATTTTCCATCTTTTCAACAATCTTAACTTGTATTTATTATCTGAAAAACAAGATAAATCTTTATTGACACAGGAATTTTTCATTAATGTTAAAAAAATTGATTATTAAATCTTTGTGTATACATACATATGTAGAAAGTATATATGTATATGTGACTTATTGGAAAGTCTATATATAGACAAGTAAACTATCAGTCGATTTCATATGAAATAAATACATTTTTTGTTATAAGAGATATATTTATAAAAGACGATCTATGAAGCTTAAGTGAAGTTCATTTTTATTAAAGATGCCTGACATATTCCAGATTGTTCTCTACGCTATTTCTTTGGAGCCAGATTTTATGTAAAAATGAACATAATCTTATATGCAAACAACTTCATGAATATATTAAAATTACAATATATTTTATTATTATTATACATTTTAATATTATAATATAAATATAATAACATAATAACTCACCAAAAGCAAAATAACACTTTCACAAATATCGAAGTTAACAATGTTCGACCTGAAAAAACGACGCCGATGTTCTTCGTTATAATGTTCGAAAAATACTTCAAACAAAAAACTTTTTATTGTACGAAACTTTCGAACAACACGACAAGGTGTGAACTATATAGTAATTTAATATATGTGTTTAGTTTTAAAATATTGCAGATAGGTATGAAAAAATATCTGAAATACAACATAAAAGTATTAGACGAAGTGACCTATTTGTATTATATATTTCAAAATATCTTATATAAAAAAAATTGTATACAAAAGGGTTCAGATACATATACAATCAAATATTTTCTAAATTATGTGAAGATGATTGACATTATATATAATAAAGAAAAGCAAAACAGACTAATATAAAAGTTGAATAAAGCTATTTAGCCACTTGCTCATATATAATAATGAGTTAACGTTCAGATTATAATGAGCTCATTTATGCATCTGATAGAGCCTTTATAAACTATACTTAATACTATATCACACAAAAAAATTAAATATATAATTGATATAATATAATATTTATATACATTTTATTTATCAATCACATATTCAATTAAAAAAAACAAAGATTTTTGTAAATACTTACTTTCTCAGTGGGTTTGTTATAAGTCAGCTGTTGTTTATTTACATTTTACATATAAAACATATGACATATATATTAAATTTTATTAATTTTCCTTTTGGGAAATTTATTTTTAATATTTGCTTTCGAAGCCGATTTATTGATAATGTGCTCAGAAAATGTGCTGAAAAAAATTTTTTTTTTATATAAAAAGAGTCTGATCGAACTAAAGATAGTCGTTGAGAGCATAAATTAAAAAAAATTAAATTTAGGTGACAATACGAATCATCTGCCAATCCAATTGGCTGCACTTAGTAAATTTTTCTATTGGTTCGGTTATAGTGAAAAGTTTCATGATCAAAATTTTATGGAGTAGGATCGATTTAAAATGAATTAGAAAGAAATGAACCTCAGCAAACATTTTGTTATATATTATATCAATGTCAATATCAATATCGTTGTGGTGTTGTATTTTATGATATATTTAAGACGGTTATGAAATATATAATACTGAAATAAATCAACCATATGTATACAATATATCAACTAAATTCACTTATTAAAATTGATTAAATAAAATTTAAGATTGTGTTTCCCTTATTATTTTTAATTTTTGGAATATATTCTAAATATTTTTATAATCTACATGTAGTTCACCTTCATTATGCATTATAATATCATAATTGTGGTGAGTTATAATATCTATTTATATTTACCTCAACAACGAACTATGATGTGTGGTGTATACACTGCAGAAATTTTGATTGCACCATACGTGATACCAAGGCTGTAAAATCATAGTTGAAGAATATGAAGTGATTTTGGGTCATAGATCTTATTCATGACCGAAGTAATCTACTTATTTACTGCTATTTGTGTTTGGCAAAATAAACATACATAATTCAGTGTTATACATTTTCTTTTTCTTTCAACTCAGTCCTGCCTACCAAAACTTCATGAATAAAATTTTTGGTAGAACTTGTATCTATAATTTATTTACTATATAATATTTATTCTAATTTAAAGTTGCAAATTCTTTTAAGCTGACTAATTTAGCGTCTGCGACATTGTTGATTCGTTGACTCGTTATTGATTTGAAATTTGTAGTAGAAGATTTGGTAAATTTTGTAACCGATTGTGAAATATCAGTTATACTACTTTCATATAACTTGAGATGTGACATATGTATCTATTGCTTGAGAATGAAGTAAGCCTCATTATTCGTTTGCAGTAGACCCATCTGTAATTCCGCAATATTCAGGTTGCCATACTCCTTACATTTAAGATTCCTTATATCTTTAAGATACCTTATATCACTTTATTTGATATTGAAATTTTTTACCAGCTTTTGGCCAGGCAGTAATCACTTTATAAGTTCATTAAATACCAGTATATAATCACTGATTTTTAGAATGTAAACATATATCTCACAGTTGTTCAAAATACTTAAAATATTAAAATCATAAAAAGAAATGTTATCTAGATACAACCTCAACTTCGCTTCTTGTGGGTTCAAACTAAAACATGCTTTGCTTTTAGAAGTTTGGAATGATGCAGTCATTCTTGAACCCTTTCTTAAAAAATTAGGTATGTACATATTTTGATGATTGGTGTACATTTCAATTGCCTGCACAGTATGGCCCACAATATACCAGCATGTTTACCTAAAGACTGAAACTGTGTAAAATTTCTATACTATAATTTACTTTTAATTAAATTTTATTGTATGCAAAAAATTCAGATTTCTTTATCTGTTGAGTATAGATATACTTTTAATATTAATAATATTTATTCAGAGCGATTCCACTAATTTTTTTAAGCTTGAGTTTTAACTTCTTCAATTGTAAATATTTTATTTGGAGAATTATTCACATTTTTTGTTTTTGGTCCCATTACCTAGCACTTTGACTTTTGTTTATCTTAAAGTATATACGTTGAATTGAGCAATCACTACTTGTGTGAGTAGAGTAAATCTGGTTTACTGCGTTATTGATATTAATTTTATTTATCAAGTCAATTAATATGTGGTGACATCTTTGATATCTACCTAACAAACTATATTTAAGTTTTTTAATGCTGAGTGTTTATATATTAAAAAACTTATATTTATTAACATAAATTTCAGTAGAACATTTTTAATACATTTAATTAATTGAATTTTACGGAAATAATTAATTTAAGATGCTTATTAAACAAAAAAACAAAAAGATTACAAATAATTTGAATTACAATAAGTTTAATCTGTTGCGTCCAGGTCCTTCATATAATTTATTATAGAAATTGGAAGAACATCTTTAATTGTAGGAACCTTCATTTCATTATTAAAATACGCGTTCATATTAGAATCTTCGTCTTCATCTAGGTAATGAATGGGTTCAAATGCATTGGAAGAAGTTGAAGTCACTTCAGGTATTTTAGACCAAATACAATACTTGAGATCATCTGTAATGGGTATAGCAATATTTAAAATAAATTTTACAGCCTTCTCAAACATTGCTTCTGCATTACTGCTCTGCTCCTGATAATTCCTTTAATGTAAAAACAATATACATATAAACAAATTTATTTAAGATAAAAAATATTAAAGATGCATTTAATTTAAATTTAAATAATAATCATTTATACGAACCCTTCACTTCTCAAAACGGTCATTTGTATTTCTGAATCATTGGGTGTAAAAAACTCTCCAATGAAATATTTAAATTGCGCTTTTGAAGCACCAAATGCTCCGTCTTTCGAAATAACACCACTTTTAACTATTCCGACGGTAATACATATTGGACACATACCAAAAGTTTGTTCGCAATATATCTGGTACTTTAGAATCTCATTCTGATTTACATTAATTTTTGAAGGTTTAATTAAATGAAGATAAAATCCATCCTTAGTGAAATTGTCATTCTTGAAAGTTGCATAGTTACTGTTTAGTGTGGTGTCTGGTATTATCATAAAATTGTGTAAGAGCAACTGTTTTATAAATACGACCGGGGTTCGAGTATCCAATAATGAATGCGGGGAATTTAAAAAATCCGCTAGCTCATATATATTTATTGTGATGCCAGTTTCATCATGGGTCCACCTAATGAAATCAAATTGGCGTGTGTTTGCTAAAACCCAAACTTTTTTTACAAATGGCATATCGTAAAAATCGATGTGCTCTACTTTAAAATTCTCCATTTTTTTGTTAATAGTTGGTTCAACTTTATAGACAAATAATGAATTTATCAATATCTATTACTTAATGTTAATGTTATAATCATATACTCACCAATTACTACTAAGAAAACAGGATTAAGCAATAAAATGAAAAGACGCTAGAAGACAAAGATAATAGCTGCAGTATATATTGATTTATTTATATACTATATATATTAAATTTGTATGAGTAGTGATAGATTTTTTACAGGTCAAAACACTTTATATTATTTATTTAAGTAAAATAATGGTCGCACTTTTCAATATGTGAAAAAGCAGGGATGTTAATTTCTTCAGTGCAACACCTGCCATTTATTAATTGTTTGCGTCGTAAAACGCATTTTGGTTTGATGGTGTGTTTGTTTGACAGAATTTCTTATTCTAATAAGAAAATATTTGCTGTATATGATTTGCTAGCTATTTCGGCTATATCCGTATTGTCCTAAACTATACATATTTAATAGAAAATTATGAAATTAGGTTTTTAAAATGCATTCAGAACTAAAATATTTTTTGAACATGGAAATAGAAAACTTTATGGCCAGTTATTATAGAGATGTTATGCTTAATACATCCTATTCGCATTAAAATTTGATTCCATATAGCTCCATATAAAAAATAGGTTCTACAAAATTTAGACATTGTAGAAATATGTCTTCATAGTTTGAATATAAAAATTTTTTTATTCAATCCTGAATATGTCCTGAATATGGTCAATGCTTTAAAGTAAAAACATATATATTGTCATTACAAGAGTTGCATTTTCCACTAAAAGCTACGTTCAATAAATAACCATTAAACAGAACTATGCCCCTATTCTATTGGCTATTGGATAAATAGCTGAGCCAATATAATATAATAATTAAATTGCCTTATTTTCATATTGAATAATTCATTATATTCATCATATTGAATAAATTATTATTAATAAATATGAAATCCCCAAATGAAATGTGTCAAAATGGCAGATACACTATATTTAGCACTAAACAAAAGCTTTAATACCTTGACACAAACAATTTTATAGCAACTAGTTTATATACTATAATAACCTTACTAGGGAGTTGTCGTCAGCAACGACTCATTAACGACATTTTGTAGAGAAGTAACCAAGCTGAGTAAGGTCTAAGCCTTTAGTGATTTATGAAGTGGGCATTTATACCATTGCATAAACTTTTTAATGTAGAAATTTGTACTTCTACCAGTTGCGACATATTACTTCTATCACTACCTAGTACTGTAGTGAAGTTTAAAAAATTAATATTCACTTTTTAAGTCTCTATTTCGACCAGGTATTTTTTAAGATAAAAATCCATATTTCTGAGGGTTGACCATAATATCTCTTAAATATCAGTTATGTTCAATTCTTAAGATGGCATTTGGTACCTCTTAAGATGTTTGTTAGTTCATGTTTGTTAGTATAAAAGTTTATACTTCTATTAACTGTGTTTACTTTTGAAGCAAAGGTTTTTACCTGTACTTTTCTTTGTCTATATCTAAATTAATACAAACATAAACGATTCTAGAAATTAGCGTTAATACCTTTGTAAGTGATATTGTTTTATCCAATCCAATATATCCTATTAAAGAAATAAATTATTATTATTAATTTATTTTAATTGGTAGTCTTCATCGATTATTGAGTTCGTCATCAACATGAGTTTAATATATATAAATATATATATTTGTAATTCTTGAATTATAATATGTAACTATTTAGACTATGCGTTCTGTGTCAAGAATTAATTAGAATATTTATTATACATACTACATAGCTTTGCTTTTATTTCATTTTTGAATAACATTTTTCTTGAGGTGTAACATTTAAATCCAATATCATAGTTGGTTGCAACTCTGCCGATATATTGGGACTTAAATTCTAAAAGCACGAGTTCATTTCGTCGTGCAGAAGGTTTTTTATATTTCTAGTGTTTTTCTTGTGCTACTAAGAATATATAATGGCTAAAGGATTTTGCCTGAAGAAAAAGAAATTCCAGCAAAAGCGAAAAATTAAGCTGGATAAATATTTTAATTGTGCGATATGTAATGGGCAAAAATCAGTGTCCATCGATATGTGTGTACTAACAACGTTTTTTAATTTTTTTTATTAAACATATTGGTTA